GACGTGCTCATAATCGACTTTCTGCCCTTCATCTTCGGCAAGTCGAAGAACATCAAGACCGGCGAGCACTTTCTCAACTACGTCTTCAAGGTACCTTCTTTCTTGCCTCCCCTTTTCAAGGTTTTGCACGGAGCTTAGCGCTGGCACCGACCGCTCAGATCATTCGAGATTTCTTCGACAAGGGTGGACATACCTGCGTCATTGCGATCGATACGCTCAAGTATGTTCCGCTCGCAAAAGGTACCCTCACTACGAACACAAGGACGAACGTGCATGCCGTTCATTCGCGTGTCTGACGCGAGCGCCAAAGCACCGACGCAGATGGATCGCGACAAGTACAGCAAGCCGCTGTCCAAGGAAGAGCTGGGCCTCGGTGAAGGTAAGGAAGTGATGGGTCGTGGCCTGCTCATCCACCAGGAGTGGCACCGCGTGATGGCCAACAGGTACGAAGTGAAATCGCATCTGCAGAGCGTCTAGTGCAAGCGCTGACGCCGTTGTACCACTTGCACCTTTGTCAACATGTGCACAGAGACCTGCGGGAAGAGATCTTCAGGTACTTCGAGCAAGAGTTCTTGCGCAACTTCTTCAGTACGTCGCCTTCGCGCTCCTTCGTGATGGCCACACTCACTTCATTCGGCGTGTGATCACAGAACGGGTCAAGAAGGAGACGTGGGACAAGTGGGCGCACGCCGACATTGCGCAGCAGAGCAAGGAAGGTGGCAAGAAGATGCCGAGAGAATGGCTCAAGTCTCTCGTCATCGACGGCGGCACACGCTATGGACCCAACCCATATGTCATTTACTCATCTGGAAAGGTCTGCTTACTTGCCTCCGCTCGAACTTGAAGTTTATAGTTGACTTACGTCGCTGTCATCTGGGGTTGTTATGCCCAACATGTTCAGGTGTGCGAAAAGCCAGAATGGCGGAACTACATCGGGGAGTCGGACCTAAAGATCCCTTTCTACATCAACTACGTGTTCCCCACGGAGAACTTTCTGGTGCGTAAGACGTGAACCTGTTGTCGGGCGTCCTTCATCGAAAAGATGGCCTAACCGTTGTGCCTAAATGCAGGTCAACTCAATCGACTCAGATCTGATTCGTATTCTGCTTGGTGGGACGCCACTTCGTCTGGACCCGGCCACGGGGCTTCCCACTTCGCGTGTACGGCGCCTCCTTCTTGGTCCCTCTATCTACGACGCGGCCGGCTCTCTCTGATCAAAGGCTCACCGAAGTTAGGTCTTCGCCATGACAGATCTACCTCCGACTGAATGATGCCAAGAAGGCCGTTGAGACTGAGGAAGAGAAACCTCAGCCTGCTGTGGTGGCGGCGGCGGTGGTTGATGGAATGGTGAACGAAGGCGAAGAAGGCGAGCCTCCAAAGCCGCAAGTCGTGAAGAGAGGCAGAGGAAGGCCCAAAGGCTCAACTTCGAAGAAGCCCAGCGCCAAGGCGAAGGCTGCAAAGGGGAAGGAAAAAGCGACCAACGATACTGGCGATGAGCACCAGCAAGCGGAGCAGGAGGAGGCGAAGAGTCCTGTCGAGCCAGAGGAGCGAGAGACGGCTGACACTACGGAGACTGGCGCTGGGGGAGAGCGCGGCGAAGGGAGGACAGGAGGAGAAGGCCAAGAAGGAGGAGCCGGAGTACTTCTACGAACCGGACTACGTCGACATCAACGCTCTCTGGGTGGCCATACGCGAGCACTGCAGAGTTCACTCCAGCTTGTTACACCATTCCCAGCTTGCCGG